GCGTGGCCAGCCGCAGAGGGAACAGGCCCAGCAGCGCCACCTCGCCGATGGCGGCCTCGGCCTTCAGTGACCCCAGCACCTCGCCCTCGCTGGACTCCACGTCGGCGGTGCCCTCGAGGAGCACCAGCATCGAGTCCGCCGCGTCGCCCGCCTTGGCGATCACCTTGCCCGCCTCGTACTCGGCCGACGCGAGCCCCACCGCCAGCTCGGCGACGAACTCGCGCGAGGTGTCTGCGAAGAGCCAGTGGGCCTGCAGGACTTGACTTTTGTCCCCTTGCGGGCCTGGACGGCCAACGCTTGCCACTCAGGCACAGGCGCGCGGGGGGAGAGGAGGGGCGAGGAGGGGAATAGGGGAAGAGACACACACCGAAGACCAGTGCGTGCGTGCACCCTCGGGCTCTGCCCCAGTGAGCCTGCAGAACGGGAACGACCTTATCGCGGATCCACAGGGCGCGCTTCTTGGCACGGGCCGCGTGGAAGTGCCACCTCTGGTCTATGATTGTCTCCAGGGCTGCACGCTGCGAGGGAAATCTCCTGATCGCCGCCATGCAGGCCACGCCTTCGATCTTCAAGCAGTGCACGCACCCCGCCAGCGTCGCGCGCACAGTCAGCGATCTGGTGTCAGATAACCCCAGCGCGCCCGACTCGCCGAACGTTTCGCCCGGCCAAACGTGCCCCATAAATACGCCAGCCCTGTTCTCCAGCACCAGCTCCCCAGAGATGAGGGCGTAGAAGGGTGTAACGCCAGGCTTGCACTCGTCTCCTTGCGCCATGACAACCTCGCCAGGCTCCATGAACTTGTCCTCCATGTTCTCGCACAGCTGAGCCAAAAACTCGGGGTCGGCATTCTTGAAGGCAATAACCTTCTGCATCATGCGCGTCTCGAACTTGTCTGCGGTTATGTTCGAGTGCTTGCGTTGCTGCGCCTCTTGCAGTAGGGGCTCCGTGATCTGCAGGTCATGCTCGGTCCAGCGGGAGAAATCCTGAAAGTGCTTGCGGTCCAGCGACTGCAGGATGCACACGGTGCTGGCAGTGACTGTTCGTAAGTAGTGATCCACCACCCCGAGCAGCACGGCCTCCGAGAAGACCTTGCCCGGACTGTACACGAAGGTGCCGCACGAGTACTCGCTCCGAAGCTTGCCATCCAGCAGGATGAACATGCGGCTCGCCTTCTGGCCCTCGACCATCACGTTGTCCTCTGGCAGCACCATGAGCGGCTCGAGGTGCTCCGTCAGCCACGTGGCCAACTGACTCGACGCCGCCCCCAGCAGCCGGACACGGCGCAGAAGCTCGAGGGGCCCCGTCGCGATCCCGCGGCTCGTCATCGCTTTGGACGCCAGGTGCGAGATGATCTCGCTCTTGAGCACGTCCTGGACCTCGCTCTCTGGAAACTCGGCGATCACGCGATCCCACACCTCCTTGGTCAGGATCTGCGCCTCGCACGCCCCGCGCGCCACGAGCGAGATGGTGCCGTCGTCGCCGGGGACCCCCAGCAGCTCGCGCACGTTGTAGCAGTCGCCCTCCCTGAGCACCGCGATCACCCCATCCGAGGCACTCACCACCGACACCTCGCCGGCGACGACGAGCACCGCCGACATCCTGGGCGCGTCGGCGCCCTGCCCCAGGAGCAGATGGCCACTGCGGAAGGCCGTCAGGCCGGCGTAGAGGTTCAGCAGGTACAGCAGTCGCGCGGGCGCGTTGGCCAGGAAGGGCCACCTGCACTTCTCGTCGCTGCCCCCGTCCTGCAGCACCTGCACCGCGAATCGCTCGAAGTGGTGCTTCTCGCCCGGGTGCCGCGCGATCGCCGCGACGAAAGCGGCGCGCGGGACCTCCAGCGTGAAGCACGCCGTCAGGGCGCGGATGGTGTGGGGCCGCTTGTGCTCCGCGCCCAGCATCGCCAACTCCCCGAAGCCCACGTGGCTGCCGCCGGCTTCCCCTGGCGCCTGGCCGTCTCCGCCAGCCACGATCTGGCCGCTGCGCAGCACGAACATGTGCGCCGCGTCGTGGGAGAACTGCGCCGACTCCACGCACAGGGTCTGCCCCGGCAGGTAGCCGCGGTACAGCGCGCCCTGGAGGATGTCTCGCACGAACTCCACCGAGCAGTTCCGGAAGAGCTCGATACCCGCGGCCAGCGGGATGGGATCGCGGCCGCAGGACGAGGAGCCCCCCTTACTGGTGCGGGGCCACCGCTCCTGTGGCCCGCAGTGGCGCCTGAGCGCGTCCCTCAGGATCTCCGCCCGCGTCACCGAGACAATCGCCAGCGGGGTGCAGACGCGGACCCTCAACCCCGCACCTGTCAGCTCGCCCAGCGCGTCGAAATCGCCGAAGCAGCTGCCCGTCGCGATCTCGCCCAGCGATCCGCCCTCAGGCGCCTCCACTTCTAGCGTGCCGTACTCTAGCACGCGCAGGTGCCCCTGGGGGTCCTCGGGGTCCATCAGCATCTGGCCGGCGTAGCACAGCTGCCTCTCGCTATGCCCCGCGACTTCGTTTATGAAGGCCTGCGAACACTCCGCAAAGAGCGCCAGTGCGCCGTAGTTCGCGGTACGGGTCGGCAGCCGAACCTGCAGGAAGCTGCCAACCTCCTTGACGAAGGGCTCCAGGCCCTCCATGACCCCAGGGAACATCTTGGTCACCATCAAGAGAGCGCTCGCTGGCAGCAGGATGTACTGCACATCCGTCTTGGCACGCACGGAGGCTGCCCGTGGTATGTGAGCGCCCAACAAGCACCAGTCGCCGACCAGCGCCCCGGGGCCGAGCCTGCCGATCTCCACCGCTCCAACCCTGCCACCCTCTCCAACCCTCTTCTCCACCACGGCCAGACCCTCGTCGATCAAAATAAGGTCCTCACCCCCGCCCGCCTCGCCGCCCTCGCCCTCCACGACGATGAGCTCCCCGACCTGGACCTCCATGACCGTGCACCTCTCTGCAATGCGCCACATGACCTCTGGAGGCGTCCCGAAGAAGACGCGGGAGCACCTGCTGACGATGGTCCTCAAGATGTCGCAAAGTTTGCGGGAGTTCTCCTGCAGCGAGGCCAGCGAGGCCCGGAGCTGGTTCCCGCGGGCCGTCTTGTCGCCGAACGCGAAGCCTATGGTGTGGATCAGACCGTACGGGTAGAGGAAGAAAAAAACGGCACGCGCATCCCCTCCTCCTCATCCTCCTCCTCCTCCTCCTCCATATCCTCCCCCTCATCCCCCTCCCTCCCTCCCTCCTTCACTCCCTCCCTCCCTCCTCCCCCTCATTCTCCATCCTCCTCCTCCTCCTCCTCCTTCTCCCTCCTCCTCCTCCTCCTCCTCCTCCTCCTCCTCCTCCTCCTCCTCCATCTCCTTCTCCTCCTCCTCATAAACTTTCGGAGCTCCGCGCGAACTTCTAGAATCGGAGCTGAACCCCACTCCATGGCGCGCGGAGCGCGCCAGAGGCGGCGCTCAGAGGCGCCGCCAGGGTGGGCCCCGGCGCCAATCCAAGAAATCCATACGGACTGTCAAGAGCTTATATAGTTGTGCCGTCTTTTCTTCTTCGAATGGGACGAGGGCGATGGTGGCGCCACCCAGTTCGAAATCCTCGCGCTCGGCCACCTGGGACCCGTCCCCAGTCAGCGGCATGGCGCCCTCTGGAGCGCCCGCAATGGAGAGGGGCAGCCAACCGCTCAGGGGCGGCGGCACGGCCCTCGCGGAGGCGTTCGGGCAGAGGTTGTAGAAGCAGAGGGCGTCGTCCGGAGAGACCTCGCCCTTCTCGATGGAGGACAGCATCTTCGCCTCCCGCTTGCGGCGCCGAGAGTCCTTTGGCAAAAATGAATGGGTAGACAAACGGGTACATACATATACATGTACATATCCAAATGCATACGAATCAACACAAACACATGCATACACATATACATACACATATACATATACACCGAAATAGACATATGCATATATATGTACATATACATATACATATAACTGCACATACACGTATACATATACATATACATATACATAGACATATACATATGCAAACACATATACATATGCATATACATGTACATATACATATACATATACACACACATATACAAATGCATGTATGTGCATATAAATATACGTATGCGTGAACATATTCATATACAAACACACATACGTACACATATACCAATACACATACATATACATAGACATGTGCAAATCCATGTACGTGTACATATAGATATAGATGCATAAGCATAAGCATACACACACTCATGTTCACATACATATGCATTTACATATACATATACATATATGTTTATATCAAAATATGCAATTGAATATACATATATATGCATGCTTACGGAAATAAACATACATATGCACATACCTGTACATACACACATACGTCTAGAATGATGTACAAAGATATGTCCATGTATTCATACATACAAAAAATACAAGTTTGTATATACAATGTAAACATACACATGTTTACACGAGTATACACATATGTATATATATACATATGCAGATACATATATATATATATGAACATAAACATACACGCATAGTACATGTGTATATAAATATGTGAACAAATACATATATATACACACGTATATATAGATATATATATATATATATATATATATATCCATATATACATGTTCACATATACATATGCTTACAGTGAAAATATAAACATACGTATACACATACATAGACGTACACGTATGCATGTACGTATACGTGTACATATAAGTGTGCATAAACATACACAAAAACCTATACATATACACATGCCTGCATATATACGTTGATACGTATATACATGCATACATGTACGTATACCTATGAATAAACATATTCATGTACATATACATATACATATACATCTACCCAAACATGAACACAGACATAAACATATACATATACATATACACATACATTTTCAAGTGCGTACACCACTATATGTACATGTACACATACATATAAGCATACATATGCATAAACATAGATATCGATATACGCCACCGCTCCGCGAGGCGCGAAGGGGAATTTTCTGCAGGTCGTACGCGTCCTTTGTTCCCTGTGCTGACTCAAAACTCTGCGATTCTAATATTCAAAGGCTGGGGCCCCCAATTCCCAAATTCCATGGGCGTTCCCGCGCGTTCCCAGGCTGCCCCGCGCGACTTTTCCAGAGGCCAGAGGGCCCCAAAACTGGCCAAGAGGGCCCCAGAAAGCGCCCGAGAACGTCCAAGAGGCCTCCAGGCCAGCCCAAGAGTGCTCCAAGACGCCCCAGATGGCCCCAAGACGGCCCAAGAGGACGCAAAGAAGCCCCAAGAGCACTCCAGGAGGACTCCCAAGAGGGCCCAAAGAGGCAAAAATCATTGTTTGCCCTTGTGGTGGTCAATGGGTTCCCCCACATGTTTCGTGGGGTGTCGGTTTTCTTCCCTGCCGCGTCGCACCCGCGTCTCCCTCACCTCCCTCCCCATGTTCTCCTTTTTCACCGGAAGTTGCGCACGCGTAAAACGATCAGACACAAACGAGCATGCAGTCAAATGCGTATGCAAAGAGCACGCGCACGCATCACACATACGTACAGCAGGCACACGCCCACATACAGCCGCAGACACATCATACACATGCAGACGCAAACCGAGTCACCCACATGACACGCACATTGCACTATATACACGCGTAGGTTGCGCAGGACGCGGCCTGGGTGGCACTCTCGACAACAGAGTACACATACAGCCGCACACCGAGTCACCCACATGACACGCACATCGCACAACATATACGCGCAGGTTGCGAAGGACGTGGCCTGCGTAGCACTTTCTCGACAGCAGAAAGGATACGAAGGGGATGGACCCTCAGCGCGGTTTCTACACGCGTAGATATCGCAAGGCCGACCAGGCGTGGCACTTCCTCAACACCAGAGGGGGTGCGCAAGGGGTGGTCCCTCACCGCGGTTTCTATACGCGCCAATTTCGCAGGTCCTAGCAAGCGTGGCACTTTCTCGACACCAGAGGGGGTGCGCACGGGGTGGTCCCTCACCGCGGTGTCTACACGCGCCAATTTCGCAGGACCGAACAGGCGTGGCACTTTCCTCGACGCCAAAATTGTGCGCAACGGGTGGTCCCTCACCGCGGTCTCTATTCGCGCCATTGTCGCACGGCCAAGCAAGTGTGGCCCTTCCTCGACACCAGAAGGGGGTGCGGGTGGTCACTCACCACGGTTTCTATACGCGCCAACTTCGAACGGTTCAGCAGGCGCGGCACTTCCTCGACACCAGAGGGGGGCGCAGGGGGTGGCCCCTCACCCTGGCACCTACACGCGCCAATGTCGCAGGCCTAGCAAGCGTAGCACTGTCTCGACACCAGAGGGGGTGCGCAGAGGGTGGTCCCTCACCGCGGCCTCTATATATACGCACAAATGTCGCAAGGCTTCGCAGTTGTGACACTTTCTCGACACCAAGTGGGGAAGGGTGGGGGACGCAGGGCAGTGGTCTCTTGAAGCGATATCTATACGCGCCAATGACGCACGGCCTAGCAGGCGTATCACGTTCTCGACATCATAGGGAGAGCGTTGGGGGTGGTCCCTCACCGCGGTCTCTATGCGCGCCAGTGTCACAAAATTAGCTGGCGAGGCATTTTCTCGACACCGTAGGGAGTGCGCAGGGGCTAAACCCTGACCGCGGTCTGTATACGCGCCAAGCTCTGCACTATCCCGATACCAGAGGGAGTGCGCAGGGGGTGGGGGCGCTACGCGCGCCAATGTCGCAAAGCCTCGCAGTCGTGGCACTTTCTCGACAACGGAGGGGGTCCGCAGGAAGCGTGGCAAACTCGACATGTTCTGGAATATATTTCGTGGGCACTATGCACACGCGTGGCATGCGCACATGCGGCAGAGGGAAGCTCAGCAAGACTAAATGTAGACACAGCGGCTCGAACTGGCTCAAAGACAGCAGGCGCCCACAGGCATCCCCCCAAAATGTGCAACGGCCGCACTGCTACCTCCGTGCATCACTCTCTTGAACAGGATGGTCGAGATGAGCGTCGAAAGGAATACATCGACAAGCGTGGCATGGACAAATTCATGAAATCCGTTTTTGAAGCTTCCGGCCGCCAGTTTCGAAATTGGTGGCCGCACAAGCTTTACACGAGGCATCATGAATTGCTGCATCCAAAACGAACGACGATAGCTGGAGGCAGTGTCTGGTGACTTTCCTGATGGACCCTGCGTCGCGCGGGTTCCCCCGAGACGCCCCCCCTGATCAGCCGGGGGAGAAGGGGGGAGATGACGACAGGCCGCCAGCGAAGGTTCCCAGAGTGCCCGAGGCTGGCAGCGTGGGCGTTTACGCCCATGAAGCCAACGCCGACGAAGGCGCCGCTACTCTGCGCCGAGCGGAGCGCCGAAGGAGATGCGTCGGAGTCACAAAGCCGGGGGGCCGCGGTTCGGGCCTCTCTGGCCCCCAGGGACCTTGCCCCGCTCGCCGCGGCCAGACATGACCTTAGTGTTTGTGGCGGGAAGACTAATGGTAGCGGAATGCGTCCTCCCTCCCTTCCTCCCACCCACCCCCGCATCCCCCTCCCCTTCCCCCTCGCGTTGTCTGTCTGTCTGTCTGTCTGTCTGTCTGTCTGTCTCTCTCTCTCTCTCTGTCTCTCTCTTTCGCTCTTTTTTCCCAACCATCGTGTGGTGTTGGGTCCTCGTTTTGAAGAGACCGTCCTCGCGTCCCTCCTCCCTCCTTCGTCCCTCCTCCTCCCCCTCCTCCCTCCTCCCCCTCCTACTTGCGCTCCACCCACCCAGTACAGCGCTTCGTGGCCCCATAGGGAGCTCCACCTAATGCACCAGTGGCCACAATTTGGCGCACCCCTCACACGGTTCATGGCCCCATAGGCGGCTCCACCGAAGGCCCCAGTGGCAGGGTTCGCATGGCCGCTCCGCGCCATTGCGGCGCACTCCTCACACGGTTCGTGGCCTTCCACCGAAGGCCCCAGTGGCAGGGTTCACATGGCGGCCCCGCCCCACTTCGGCGCACCCCTCACACGGTTCGTGGCCCCATAGGGAGCTCCACCGAAGGCCCCAGTGGCAGGGTTCGCATGGCGGCCCAGCCCCATTGTGGCGCATCCCTCACACGGTTCGTGGCCCCATAGGGAGCTCCACCGAAGGCCCCGGTGGCAGGGTTCGCATGGCGGCCCCGCCCTACTTCGGCGCACCCCTCACACGTTTCGTGGCCCCATAGGGAGTTCCACCGAAGGCCCTAGTGGCAGGGTTCGCATGGCGGCCCCGCCCCATGTCGGCGCACCCCTCACACGGTTCGTGGCCCCATAGGGAGCTCCACCGAAGGCCCCAGTGGCAGGGTTCGCATGGCGGCCCCGCCCCATTTCGACACACCACTTACACGTCTCGTGGCCCCATAGGGAGCTCCACCGCAGGCGCAGTGGCAGGGTTCGCATGGCGGCCCCGCGCCAATGCGGCGCACCCCTCACACGGTTCGTGGCCCCATAGGGAGCTCCACCGAAAACTGTATTCATAATGTGGTACCCCCAATTGCAAATGGTTGGGCCCTTCGCCAGGATATTTGTTCTGTCTCTCTCTCTCTCTCTCTCTCCCTCTCTCTCCCTCTCTCTCGCTATCCCCAAGACGGCCAAAGAGGCCTGCAAGACGCCCACGATGGCCTGTAAGACGGCCGTGGAGCACCCCAACAGGGCCCCAAATCGGCCCAGAGAGGCCCCCAGGATGGCTTCCGACGGCGTCAGACGAGCCACGGATGCCCTAAGACGACAAAAGAGGCACCCGAGAAGCCCCCTAATGCCCCCAAGAGGCCCCAGGAGGCCCCCAAGATGCCTCCAGGAGGCTCCCAGGAAGCTCCCAGGAGGCCCCAAGAGTGCCCCCCAGAGGCTCCCAAGATGCCCCCTCCTCCTCCTACTCTTCCTGATCTTTCCCGCCATTCTCCCCCAAGTGTTCCCCAAAAGGCTTCCACAACGGCTGGGGGAACTCATGATCCGATAGCTTGGCAGAGCTCTTGCCATAGCGCTCGGCCACACGGGCGATTCCAAAAGGCAGGGGGCCGCAGTGATTCGCCGCAGGCGTCTTCGACATCTACACAGACGGCTGCACAAGATATCGGTGGCACCTGACCAACTCACTGTACGAGGGAAGGGGCCCCGAGGGACACGGGGCCCGGACGCTGGGACCGACCTTCTGTCCTCGTCGTCTTCTGGTGCCCCGGGGGCCCGGGACGCCGAAACCCGGCGACCCCCCTCGTCCTCCTCCTCCTCCTCCTTTTCCTCCTCGTCCTCCTCCTCCTGCTCCTCCTCCTCCTCCTCCTCTTCCTCGTCCTCCTCCTCCTCCTCCTCCTCTTCCTCCTCCTCGTCCTCCTCCTCCTCCTCGTCCTCCTCCTCCTCCTCCTCCTCATCATCATCATCCTCCCCCTCCTCCTCCTCCTCCTCCTCCTCGTCCTCCTCCTCCAGGCCCTCTTTCCCTCTGGACCCCCCTTCGCGGCCAGATCCTGAAACAGGAAGGGCGCGTTGTGTATCGAGTGGGAGTCGTAGGCGCCGGCGATGTTCCTCATGTTCTCGGGCCTGGCGCCAGGCGGGGCCGCGCTGGCATCCTTGGAGAGCCCAGAACGCGCGGCACCCTTGCCGCGGTTGATCGGCCGGAACGGCTCCACCTTCGGGGGACGCCAACGGAGCAACTCGCCGGTCCTGGTCGGCCCGATCCAGGGCCGGAGATCGGTGTACCCACACAGATCGGGTGCCCAGGTCTGACCAAGCCAGGATCGGAGAGATGGCCAGTTTCCGCGGCGCCCGTAAGGGGGTGGCGGGTGGCGCGAGAGAGACGGCTTGCTGAGAACGCGGGGGGGGCCTCTTAGAAGGCAGGGGGACTTCTTAGAGAAGGCCCCCGAAGGCTTCTGATCATGCTTCTCAAAAGCGGGGCGTGCTTCTCAGAAGCCCCCCTGCCTTCTTAGAAGCCCCTTCGCTTTCTCACAGGGCTGCACCCCACACGCGCCACCCCATTACGGGCGCCGCCAAAAGTTAACGTCCCAGCTGATGCAACCCTGGGGAAACCAAAAGGTACAGATACGGCTCCTCCACGGACCTCTCCTGGGGTGCGCTCTGACCAGGACTTCGAGGCGAATCCAGCGGTGGTGACGGGGGCCTCCCAGGAGGCCCAAAAGGGGCGAACACAGGGCAAGGGTAGCGGTATCGATACCGCTTCCTCCTCTGAAGCCCCGGCACCTCGGAGTTGAGCATCAGCAGGCCCACAAAGTTGAACGCCTCCCCCGGTCCGAACACCACCGCGGGGCGGTCCCTGCCGCCCACGCGCACGGAGACCGCGCCGCTCTCCACGATGATCAGGGGACCCCCGTCCTGCAAAAGACCAAGACAAAAGTGGACCATGTGAAAAATACTGGCTGGCAAACTCAGCTTGTCAACCAATGTTTTTCAAGGACAGATAGTCAAAGACTCCCTGCTATTTTAATCGACTCATAAAACACAGCGGGAGGCGTTTGGCAGTTTTCGGCCTCCAGGGGCGCTGACCAGGCCGGGGGGCCCTCAAAAACAGCACGGGATTGAAAGCCGGTCGCTGTGAAGGGGCCCAGACCTCCAGGGAGCCGCGGTGTGGAAAACCCGACGTCAAAGCGAGGAACGAAGTCGGGTCGGGATGAACCGGGGATCTCTGCGATCAGGCGGTGCTGGAGGACGCAGCACGCGCCGCAGGCGCTCCAGAGCTCTGAGAGCGTTCCGGAACGCCCCGGAGCTATTCATCTCCGTCCGAGGCCTCCATGTCCAGCGCCTCGCCTGGCCGCAACTGCCTGCGCTCCGCCTTCTGCCCCACGGCGTCCGCGAGCTCCTGGCAAGAGGCCGCCGACGAATGAAACACCCACACCGATACTGGCCAGGCTCATCCTGGGCCCCAAGATCGGTGCATACGCCCCCATGGCTTGGGCGAGGAGGCATACACCTAGACGTACGATGTCCTGCGTTTCTTGTTTGTTCGGTACCGGGACCCTGGGAAGTCCCGACCCTTTCTCCAGGACCGTTTTTTCTCCACGAGTCGTTTTTTGACAGCTCTGGGGCCAGGCAGGGGCCCCCCAGAGGCCCGAGAACGGCCAAAACCCGCCCGTACTGACTTTCCCACGGCGCGCGCATGTCTGGGCAGCGCCCGCGGGTGCGCTCTCGCCCCGGCCCGGCTGCTGCCACGGTCACCGCTGCCACGGCTGGCCGCACTGGCCCGCTCGACGCGGAAGTCTCTTACGTCTGAGTGCTCCTCCTCCCCCCGTCCTCAGCGCGGCCGCCCTGGTCCTTTTCCATCTCTTGATTGCGGGCTACTTCGCCATTCGGTTGCCCCGACTTGTCAGTCGCTGGAGCGGACCGCCTCCGCCTCGCCGCGGATGGAAAAAACATGTCTAGATGTACACCGATCCTGGGACAAGGGTTGGCCTCTGCCAGGCCGGGTGTGGGTGTACAGGCATTGGTGCACCGATCTGGGGCGCGGGATACGCCTGGCCAGGATCGGTGTGGAGGAGGAGGAGGAGAAGGAGGAGGAGGAGGAGGAGGAGGAGGAGGGAGGAGGAGGGGAGCAGGAGGAGGCCAAGTGTAAACCCAAGACCCATTAACGATATTGCAACAACTCCTCCCTCCAAGTGCCCTCTTCATAGGCCCCTACAAAGATTCATTGTCGCTGAGGGAAGTGCCTCGTTGGAAGACACCCGGTTGAAAACCCTGAACTGTGCCAGATCACCAGTCCTGGAACTCCACCGCCGCGAATCACCGCTACTATTGCGTCTTGACGATCCTGAATCGTGCCAAAACACCGTTCCTGGAATTGCAACACCGCGGATTAACGTAACTGGTGCGCCCTGAGAGTCCGACATCTTGCCAAAGCACCATTACTGATAATCCTCGACACTTCTGTGAACTGTGAAAATGAGTGTGCGCAGCGATATGGCGAGAGCCACATGTTCAAAAGGAACCGCCCACCATCCGTGAAATTCGTGCAGTTCCCTACCTAGGCTCTGCCTAGAAGGGTTCTTACTCGCTTGGCTTAAAGCGGCCGGGCAGTGCAAACCGCCCCGGGCGGTTCCCCCAGTCCCCTGGGAGCCAAGCAAAAGCAACAGCAAAGGTAAAAGCAAACGCGCGGTTCCCCCAGTTGCGCTCCCTGGGTGCCAAGCAAAAGCAAAGGCAAAGGCAAAAGTGAAGGCAAAAGCGAAGGCAAATCAAAAGCATAGCATAGCATAGCATAGCATAGCACTGCATAGCATATCATAGCGCAGCATAGCATAGCGCAGCATAGCATAGCATAGCATAGCCTAGCTTAGCCTAGCCCAGCATAGCAGTGCGCAGCATAGCATAGCATAGCATAGCATAGCATAGCATAGCAGAGCAGAGCAGAGCAGAGCAGAGCATAGCATAGCATAGCATAACGCAGCACAGCATCCACTATTGCTGCTGCTATATATATATATACATATATATGTATATGTACTTCTATGTGTGTGTGTGTGTGCGCACGTATGTTCCATGCATGTTGTCCGTCTGTGGGCCTTCTTGAGCCTTTAGTGGGGCAGCTTGAGCCCTTAGGATTCACGAAGGTTTCGCACATAGCACCGGCCGGGCGACATGAAACACGACGTACGATCGCATGTCCTAAATGTCTTTCTATATTTGCAAATATATGTGTATATATACATAACACCCATGTGGAATGCTGCATGTGTGTGTGCGTGTGTGTGTGCGCATGTATTTGTAGATGTAAAGAACTCCCCAGTGCCCCGCCCTCATCTCCGTGCCTGCTTGCGTTTGCTGCTGTCTCGGCGAATTGCTGCCTGCTTCTGCTGCTGCTTCACTTACGGCGTGGCGTCGGCGGTTCTGGCGCTGCTACTACTACTACTACTACTACTACTACTACTACTACTACTACTACTACTACTACTACTACTGCTACTACTGCTACTAATACTACTACTACTACTACTACTACTACTACTACTACTACTACTACTACTACTACTACTACTACTACTACTATTACTACTACTACTACTACTACTACTACTACTACTACTACTACTACTACTACTACTACTACTACTACTACTACTACTACTACTACCGTTACTGCTACAACTACGACGATGAGGAGAAGGAGGAGGACGGCGTTTACCGCTCCTAGTAATGTTGCTTTCCTAGAGGCTCCAACTCCTAGGTAGGGTCGCACTGTGGTAATTGTTTAAGACGAATGTGCGCGGCGTAGCTGAAGCGAGAGCCACATGTTGAAAAGCAGCCGCAGTCAATCCGCTAAACTCTTGCATGTATTAAGACGAATGTGCGCGGTGCTAAGGCGAGAGCCACACTTTGAAACGACCCACCATCCCTCCGTGAAACTTTTGAAAGTGTCTAAAACGACCGCTCGCAAAGGCGAGAGCCACATGTTGAGAACAGCCCATCCTTGAAACTCTCGCGAAGTCTCAGCTTACGGATCATAAGTGGTGAGGAAGCCTCACGTTAAACGCCTGGCCCGCCCTACCAACACGCCACGGCGTGCAACAGGGAACAGCCAGCTATAAGGAAGCGGGATGGTGGAGGCGGAGGAGGAGGAGGAGGAGGAAGAGGCGAAGGAGGAGGAGGAGGAAAAGGAGGAGGAGGAAAAGGAGGAGGGGGAAGGAGAAGGAGGAGGAGGAGGAGGAGGGGAGGAGGAGGAGAAAAGCAGGAGGGGGAAGGAGGAGGAAGGAGGAGGAGGAGGAGGAAAAGGGGAAGGAGGAGGAGCAGGAAAAGGAGGAGATAGGGAAGGAGGGAGCAGGAGGTGGAGAGGGAAGGAGGAGGAGGAGGAAAAGGAGGAGGAAGAGGAGGAGGAGGAGGAGGAAGGAGGAGGAATGAGTAGGAGGAGGAGGAGGAATGAGGAGGAGGAGGAGGAGGAGGAGGAGGAGGAGGAGGAGGGAGGAGGAGGGAGGAGGAGGAGTGGGTGTGTATAGCTGGTGGCCTCCGCTCCTGGGCGCAGCCCGCGAAGAGGCGCGTGCGCGTCAGGGCGCGCACGACCGCCTCGGGGTTCGGCTCGCGCTGGCGCGGCGCCGCCGGGCCCTCGGGCAGCGTGAACTTCCTGCCGAGGGGCTCGGGCTCGGGCACGGGTTCGGCTTCGGGCTCGGGCACGGGCTTGGCTTCGAACTCGGGCTCGGGCTCAGGCACGGGCTTGGCTTCGAGCTCGGACTCGGGCTCGGGCTCGGGCGCATGGAGCCGAAGGGAGCCCTGATTCCGGAATCGGAAAGAGCGAGACGGCCTCACGAACAACGAACTTATCCATATCCAGGCTCTAGCGGTCTGGATTCCAGGGCGCGATCCCGTGGATACGTGGTCGCCTGGATACGCTCCGCGCGGGGCATCCGCGAAAAGGCATCCAGTATCCACGGGGTCGGGGCCCATGGGCCCACGAGGCCGTGAATACAGATATGGCTTCCGCCATCGACGGCCGGTTCTCAACTGGTTGGGGCCGCTGGCTTTGCAGCCAGTCATCTCACCCGAGATGCTCAATACCACTTTGGGCTATTACCATCATCCTCATGATAATAATGATCATCATCATAATCATCGTCATCATCATCAGCAGCATCATCCTCATCATCAGCATCATCATCATCACGACCACCACCATCTGCATCATCATCATCAGCATCATCATCATCATCATCATCATCATCATCATCATCATCATCATCAACCACCACCACCGCCATCACCACCATCATCATCACCATCATCACCATCATCACCAGCAGCATCATCATAACCACCATCATCATTATCGTCATCATCATCAGCATCAACAGCATAGTCAAAGTCATCATCATCAGCAGCAGCATCATCATCAGCATCATCATCAGCATCATCATCACCCATCATCATAATCAGCATCAGCATCATCATCATTATTTCCATCATAGCATAATCATCATTATCATCATCACCATTGTCGTCACCATCATCACCATCATCAGCAGCATCATCATATCAGCAGCAGCACCATCATCACCACTATCAGAAACATCATCAACAGCAGCATCATCGCAATCACCGTCAACATCGTCATAATCACCATCATCAGCAGCATCAGTATCATCATCATCATCGGCGTCAGCAGCATCATTATCATCAGCAGCAGCATCATCAGTCATCATTATGGATCCAGCGCCTCCAAGACGCAAGCGACAACACCTCGGCCATGGCAAAAGCCAAGGCGCTGCAGGACCCGCTCACGGACGAGCCCAAGGACCAGACCCTCGAGGCTGCTCTCGCGGCAGCCCAGGCGTGCACCAAGTGCTTGCTCAAGAAGGACGGTTCCACATTGGCGTACATTTCAAGACTGTTCGCACGGGGGGTTCTTAGCGCGCTCCGCCAAAGAGCTCCAAGCACAGGGCAAGCTCTGGGCCTCTGACACGACACGCCGAGGTGCTGGGGACCGAGAGTCTCGAGGCCATAACTTCTAAAGTAGGGAAACTCCTGCCAGAGCGAGTGGCGCACGAACATCTCGAGCCACCAGCCCTCCCGAGGGAAACAACCACGCACGAGAGATTCTTACTCCTCCCACACCTCAGAAACTCATACCCTCCAGGGTATCGCTATACCATACTAACAAATCACCGTACATACGAATTGCCGGGACGAGGAATTCGTTATCCCCCCCGAACCCCGAACCTTATTATGCCCACCCTTTAATTACCAGGGTCCCGCCATTATCTCCTCCCTGTCGCAACCCGAGGCCTTTCGGAAGGGCGGGCCGAGCGTTTCGCTTGAGACCTCCTCACCATTTTTGACCCTGAAGCTTACAAGTTGCAAGAGCTTCACAAATGGAGGGCGGATTCTTTTCAAAATATGGTTCTCGCCTTGGCGCTGCGTACATTTGTCTGAAACATCGAAATTCACGGATTAAGGCCAGGTCGTTTTGAAAATGTGGCTCTCCCCTTGGCGCCGCGCACATCCGTCTTAAACTCTGCAAGAGTTTCACGGGTGGAGGGCGGGTGGTTTTCAAAATCTGACTCTCGTCATAATAACGCGCACATGCGTCATACAAAATGCCAGAGCTTCACAGATGGAGGGCGGTTCCTTTTCAAAATTTGGTTTCGCCTTGGCGCTGCGTACACTTGTCTGAAAAAATGGAATTCACGGATGAGGCCAGGTCGTTTTCAAAATGTGGCTCTCCCCATTGGGGTCGCGCACATCCGTCGTAAAACTTTGCAAGAGCTTCACGGGTGGAGGGCGGGTGGCTTTCAAAATGTGACTCTCGCCCTGGTAACGCGCACATGCGTCATAAAATAATCCAGAGCTTCACAGATGGAGGGCGGTTCCTTTTCACAATGTGGCTCTCGCCTAAGCGCCGAGCGCAGTTGCTGTCAGAGCTGAAAACAGCTTCAAGGATTATCATGGTTGACGTCCCAGGAATTGTGTTTTGGCACAGTGTCGGATTGTCAGGGCGCGACTGTTACATTGATTCGTGGTGTTGAAGCCCCAGAAATGGTGCTCTGGCGCGGTTCAGGATCGCCAAAGCTCAACAGTAACTGTGTCTCGCGGCGCTGAAGTCCCAGGAACGGATTCTGGCACAGACCAAGACTTTCCAACGGTTGTTTTCCAACAGGGCACTATCTTCAGTGAAGATGAATGCCTGCACGGGCCTATGAAGAGGGAGCTTGGAGGGAAGGCTTCTTGCAACATCGTTGATGAGTCCTGGGTTTACCCTGGTCCTCCTGTTCCTCCTCTCTCCTCCTCCGCCTCCTCCTCCTCCTCCTCCTCCTCCTCCTCCTCCTCCTCCTCCTCCTCCTCCTCCTCCTCCTCCTCCTCCCCCCACATCCGACGTCATTTGTTTAACAACGTGGCTCCCCAAATGTCTGGACCCCTTCCCTGGGACCGTCTTTTCGTTTTTGGGGCGGCCCCGGTAACCGCTGAGGGCCCTAAGTGGCCGAACCTTAGCAAAAATCTCCCGTCGCGGTTCTGCCAGTGTTAGAGGATGTCAGGGTCGTCACCTCCTCCTCCTCCTCCTCCTCCTCCTCCTCCTCCTCCTCCTCCTCCTCCTCCTCCTCCCCTCCTCCTTCTCCTCCTCCTCCCCCCTCCTCCTCCTCCTCCTCCTCCTCCTCCTCCTCCTCCTCCTCCTCCTCCTCTTCCTCCTCCTCCTCCTCCTCCTCCTCCTCCTCCTCCTCCTCCTCCTCCACCCTCCTCCTCCACCCTCCTCCTCCCCCCATCCCTCCTCCTCCTCCTCCTCCTCCTCCTCCTCCTACTCCTCCTCCTCCTCCTCCTCCTCCTCCTCCCCCTGCTTCTCCTCCTGCTCCTCCTTAGGAAAACCCCCCGATCCTCGGCGACGGGCGGATGGAGGATCGACGCGCACCCTTCGGGCTCGGGAGCCCAGCCCTCGGAGCGCTGGCGGAGGCGGGGCGGCGCACAGTCACGGTCGGCACAACCTGCCGAAGGCGACGACGACGACGACGACAGCGCAGACGCCGACGCAGACGCCGACACCGACGCCGACGCCGACGCCGACCTCGCCGACGACGACGGCGGCGAAGACGAAGACTTGCAATGTGTGCCCTTCCCTTGCGCCTGGGCGGCTCTCGTGGCCACGGCTGGGCACAGCTCGAAGAGCGGGCGAAGAGGAGGTCTGGCGATCGGTTCTGGTCGGCACAACCTGCGCCCCCCACAGGTCGTCGTCGTCGTCGTCGCCGTCGCCCAGGCCTTCGGCGTCATGATTTTCGCTATCGTCTCAAGAAGTCTAAACACTTTCGGTCAGGGCTGGTTTTCATCCCAGATCGTTCTCTGGCGGTCCCAGGGCCCGAAACAGACCTGGGGCAAAAAGTCTAAGAAAAGCACCAGCATCCAGCAAAATCACGACGCCAGAGCCGTGTTGGCCGTCCTCGTCTTGACCGGCTGGAGGGGGGGGGGGGAAATAGCGATACCGCTACTCCTCAAAGCGACTACAACCGTCGCGGCGAAGCCCCCCAGGAGGCCCACGAAGGCAAAAACGAAGGAAGGGTATGATAAGAAAACCGTTCGGGTGAAAAGGATGCTTGGGAGAATGGGTGCAGATGTCGGTTTGCGAATTATGTGTGTGCTGGATCCGGTCAGCATATATATATATATATATATATATATATATGTGTGTATGTGTATATATATACACACATGGATATACAGGTAACGCCAGGCATACGGATATATACACATGTGGCACCAAATAAATACCATGATTGGAAATGGCATGCATGATTACATATAAATGTGTCGAGACACACATGAACCCATATACATATATGTATGTATATTTGTATACATAAATATGCACACACATGTAGGAAATAAACATATATGTATGTACATACATAGACATACGTACATCACCAGATAAATGTCTGCATGTATACAATGGAACATGCATATATGCATACACGCATACACACATGCATGCGTAAATGCATGCATACATGTACAAAAGAAACACACACACATGCATACGTAGATACATGCATACACACAGAGATGTTTGCGTGCATACATGCATGCGTGCAGACATATATACACATATATATATATATACGTATGTGTACATACATGCATACACGTACAAACATACACACATACATACATGCATGCATACATACATGCATGCATGCACACCTATATACAGATGCACCTACATGTATGTATACATACATACATGCATACACACATCCATACATCCACATATACATACATGCATACATACATACGTTCGTGCGTGAGCGCGTGCGTGCGAGCGCACATACATCCATGCATGCATGCATACATACATGTATGCACACGTGCATACATTCATGCTGACAAGCATACATACAACAATGCATACGTATATACATACATATGGTAGCACCCCCCCAGCACCCCACCGATTCATGTTTCTGAAAATCTTGTTTTGAAAACGTTGGTGTGTTTGGTTTGAATGGCTTCGCTGTTTCAACGCACGCTGCGCTTGGAAATCCTGTTGGGGAGGAGTACAATGATATTCTTTTGAAGAGATCCCAATCGGATTTCTTTTAAAGCTGCGTTGGCCCTAATGAAAGGGCAAGGAAACAGAAAACCAACAAAAACACGAAATCCAACAAAAACAAAGCGAAAACCAACAAAATTAACAACCAAGGCAGAAAAAACAACAAAACCAATGGTTTTCAATAGTTTTCCCTTCTATCCATTACAAAAGCAAACCCTTGTGTGGCGGAATACAAAAGGACCCCTTTTGTGGCGGAATACAAAAGGAGTTCCTTTGTGGCGGAATACACAAGGATTTCCTCTTGTGGCGGAATACAAAAGGATTTCTTTTGTAGAGGAATACAAAAGGATTCCTTTTGTGGAGGCATACAACAGGATTCCCTTTGTGGCGGAATACAGAAGGATTCCATTTGTGGCGGAATACAAAAGGATTCTCTTTGTGCCGGAATACAAAAGGATTCCCTTTGTGGCGGAATACAAAAGGATTCCTTTTGCGGTTGAATACACATGAAAACAAATGGTTTTGCAATGTTTTCAATGGAAAACGTTTGAAAACAATTGGTTTTGTTGGTTGCTTTGCCTTGGTTATTAACTGTGTTGGTTTTCGCTGTGTTTTTGTTGGATATCGTGTTTTTGTTGGTTTTCTGTTTTTGCCCCTGGGCCTGCGGCTGCCCTGTGAGCAACGGAGGAGGGTGAGAAACCAGAAAACCAACAAAAACACGAAATCCAACAAAAACAAAGCGAAAGCCAACAAAATTAACAACCAAGGCAGAAAAAACAACAAAACCAATGGTTTTCAATAGTTTTCCCTTCTATCAATTACAAAAGCAAACCCTTGTGTGGCGGAATACAAAAGGACCCCTTTTGTGGCGGAATACAAAAGGAGTTCCTTTGTGGCGGAATACACAAGGATTTCCTTTTATTGCGGGATACAAAAGGATTTCTTTTGTAGAGGAATACAAAAGGATTCCTTTTGTGGAGGCATACAAAAGGATTCCCTTTGTGGCGGAATACAGAAGGATTCCATTTGTGGCGGAATGCAAAAAGATTCTCTTTGTGTCGGAATACAAAAGGATTCCCTTTGTGGCGGAATACAAAAGGATTCCTTTTGTGGCGGAATACACATGAAAACAAATGGGTTTGCAATGTTTTCAATGGGAAACTTTTGAAAACAATTGTTTTTGTTGGTTTCCTCTGCCTTGGTTATTAAGTTTGTTGGTATTCGTTTTGTTTTTGTTGGATTTCGTGTTTTTGTTGGTTTTCTGCTTTTGCCCCTGGGCCTGCGGTTGCTCTGTTAGCAACGGAGGAGGTTGATAAACCAGAAAACCAACAAAAACACGAAATCCAACAAAAACAACGCGAAAACCAACAAACTTAATAACCAAGGCAGCCAACGCAACAAAATAAATTGTTTTCAATAGTTTTCCATTGAAAACATAGCAAAACACGTTGTATTCATTATTTTTCCAAATGAAAACAATTAAAAACATGTTCTGTTTGGTTTCTCAATGAATATATTCAAAAACAATTGGTTTTCAGAAGCTTTACTTTGGAAATCAATGTAATTCGGGAGGGTGATTGCAAACGCCTAAGCTGCCCTGAAGGGCGCTTTGGGATTATAAAAGGGGGAAAGTATGGGCATTGTTTTGATTTCCTGGTGCAGTTCCAGCAGGCAAAAATGAGGTTCCACGTGCGCATAGCACAGAACACCGTTGCTGCACTTGCGCGTTTCAATACGACGTCGTCACTTTTTGATGAGTTGTGCTTCTTCAGAATTTCGGGCTTGACGAGTTCGGGGTGGTTCTCGGGTGCCTTGCGGGTGCCTTGCGGGTGCGCTAGCAATGAACATTTCGGTTGGTGTGGCTGCGCGCTTTGGAGGGTGATTGCAAACGCCTAAGCTGCCCTGGAGGGCGTTTTTTTTGGTTTATAAAAGGGGGGAATTATGTGCATTGTTTTATCTGGTGAAACTCCAGCAGGCAAAAATGAGGTCCACGCGCCGCATAGCGCAGAACACCGTTGTTGCACTTGCACGTTTCAATACGACGTGATCATTTTTTGATGAGTTGTGTTTCTTCAGAATTTCGGGCTTGACGAGTTCGGGGTGGTTTTCGGGTGCCTTGCGGGTGCGTTCCGGGTGCCTTGCGGGTGCCTTGCGGGTGCTGGAAATGGTTTCAATTTGGTTTCGGACCCCTGCGATTTAAGGAATTCTGCTAATGCGGCGTGATACGACGGTGGCGGCGGCGCTGATGATTGGAACAACAGGGAACACGAGGGGACACGAGGGGGACACGAGGGGGCACGAGGGGGACACGAGGGGGACAAAAGGGGACACGAGGGGGACAGCAGGGGACAGCAGGGGGCACGAGGGGGACAGCAGGGGACACGAGGGGACAGCAGGGGACACGAGGGGGACACGAGGGGGCCAGCAGGGGACACGAGGGGGACAAGAGGGGAAAGCAGGGGACACGAGGGGGACACGAGGGGACATCAGGGGACACGAGGGGAACACGAGGGAGACATCAGGGGGACACGAGGGGACACGAAGGGGACACGAGGGGACACGAGGGAGACATCAGGGTGACACGAGGGGGCACGAGGGGGACACGAGGGAAACATCAGATAGACATCAGGAGGGCACGAGGGAAACATCAGGGGACATCAGGGGGACATCAGGGAGGGAGACATCAGGGAGACATCAGGGAGAGATCACGAGGGAGACATCACGAGGGAGACATGACGAGGGAGACATCAGGAAGACATCAGGTAGACACGAGGGACACAAGGGAGACACCAGGGAGACATCACGGGGGAGACATCAGGGAGACATCAGGGAGGCATCAGGGGGACACGAGGGAACACGAGGGAGACATCAGGGAGACATCAGGGGGACACGAGGTGACACGAGGGGGACACGAGGGGACATCAGGGGATACGAGGGGGACACGTTTTCCGACAGGGAGAGGACCAGGAAGAAGAACAGAAGGTGGAGGACGAGGGAGGAGGGAGGAGGGAGGAGGAGGACGAGGAACAGGAGGAGCAGGAGGCGATGGGGGGAGATGGAAGAGGAGGGGGAGGATGAGGGAGAGGAAGATGAGGAGGAATACCTATCGGGTGCTCATCAGGTGCCCTTCGGGTGCCCTTCGCGTGCCCTCGGGTGCTCGTCGAGTGCCGTTCGGGTGCTCCCGAGTTGCCCTTCGGGTGCTCATCGGGTGCCCTTCGGATGCTATTCGGGTGCTCTCGAGTTGCTTTTCGGGTGCTCATCGGGTGATCAGCGGGTCACTCATCGGACGCCCCCTCCCCAGGAAGCTCGGAGGACCCGAAACGCACCCGACCGACACCTCGAACGCACCTGCAAAGCACCCCGAAGGCACCCGTTGAGCACCCGAAGGCGCCCGAAAAGCACCTGAAGAGCAACCCGAAGGCGCCTCGGATCTCTCATCAG